CTTGGCCCCGATGGCTTTCAGATCCCCGGGCCAAAGACAGCACCGCACAGTCCCCACCCTCCGTTCCCAGCAAGGCCGCCGGGCCCTGGTGCCCGGCTGCCACTGGAGTGGGGTGCTCCTGCCCCCAGAGTGAGGGAGGAAGCCGCCTCCCCACGCCCCTCAGTGCCTGGGGCCCGGGTCAGTGGTCAGAAACCCCCCAGAGGCCAGCAGGGGACGTGAAAGGGCCAAGTGGCAGGGCTGGGACTGGACAAAACGGGCCCCATCTGAGGGTGTGTGGCAGGGGTGTGGGCCCAGGGGGCCTGCGTGTCCCAGCCCAGGGGGCCCATGTGTCCCAGCCCAGGGGGCCTGCGGGTCCCAGCTTGTTGAGAGGAGCTGGGAAATCCGGTTCATTTGTAGATCCGGGTCATTCCTACGAACATGTCAACAGCCTGGACGGCCGAGCCGGAGCTGGAGGGTTTGGCTTTACGGGTGGGGGAGGGGAGCAGGGGTGTTTGTGGGGTCTCGCGCCCTCGGCCACTGCTTCTCCACCCTTCCCTCCCAGTGCTCCGAGCCCCAAGCTGCCCTCCGAAGCAGGAAGCTCCTCTGAAGCCCCGTCCATCTCCCTGCTGGGCAGCGGCGGTGCCCGGCGGCCCAGGGTGACATGAGGCACTAGGCACTGACAGCCAGGAGTGACCAGTCCACTTCCACATTTATTTCCCTCAAAAGTCACAGGGTGACAGGGGAGCCTGGGGGGCCTGGCACAAAGCCATCTACACCGGCTGTGTGTGCCGGGGGTAGGGGCACTCAGCCTCGTTCCCGGACGCACCTGTGACCAGGTGGCTGCGCCCGAGAGTCTCCACCCGGCCTCGGTGTGCGGTGGCAGGGGAATAACAGGGTGCCCACCTGCCTCTTGTACCCCAGGTGGTGAACATCCGTCTTCATGACGTCGGGGTGGTTGGTGCAGTTATCTTTCCAAAGGCTCTCGTTGGAAAAATTAAGTTTTGGCAGTGTAAATCCAGCCCTCAAAAGCTGTTCTGGAAGCTTCCCTGGTTGGTAAACCGCCCGGGTCCAGAGCCCTTGGCTATGTCCTAGCTCGGTTTTCTCTCCTCTCCGATGGGCAGCAGCCGTTTCTCACGTAAGGCACTCGGCTGCATGTCCCCAGGAGGGGCTCGGGCCGCCCTGCTCAGAGCCCCCGAGGGTCTCATGTTGATGCTCAGTGTCCTTCTGCAGGGCCACATGCAGAAGTTTCCTCCCTGGCCCCTCCCCCTGCTCCAGCCTGGACTTCTGCCCGGTCAGGGGGCAGCCTGCAGATGCCTGCCTTTGTCCTGGATGCCTGGCCAGGGGCGGGGGCGGAGGGCTGGCCGTGCAGGCAGGCGTGGTCTGCCACATTCCTGCCCGGATGTGGGGCCTGAAGGCGGGTGGGGGTTGTAGGCCTGGAACCCTGTGACTTCGGTTTGCACGTGGTTTTCCTCCACATGCCCTGAAGGTAGAAGATAATACTGTGCAGGAAAACTTCGAAAACTTCCCCGAGGTGGGCACTGCAGGGGTTACCGTTCCTACTTCCTACAGGGGGAAACTGAGGCTCGGCGCGCGGGGACCGGTCCAGGGTGGCACAGCAGGTCGGCAGCAGGACCTTGTCCTCGTCGTGAGCTGTGTCCTGCAGCACCCAGGGGAGACGGGGTGGCCCACCCAGCTCTCCTAGAGGCAGGCAGCGCCTGATCGATCACCTGGCTGACCCACAGCCAGGCCTGGCCCTCCAGCCACCACCCCTCGTCCACAGTCCAAGGAGACAGCGGCCCACTCGGCTTGTGACAATCTTGCAACAGCTGCTTGTCTTTGCGTGCAGGGCCCCGAGCGGTCTCGGATGCAGGGGCTGGACTGCCACTCGCCCGCGCACCCCACGTCCAGGGTCCAGACGGGGACGTGGCCGTGCCCCTTCCTCTCCCTCCCTGACCCATCCTTCACCCGCTTCAGCACGTGCAGCCCCAGGGCGGCCACAGCAGAGTGACCGGGCTGGCGTTGTCCCTGCTGTGGACCCCCACACCGCCCCAAGGAAGCCTCGTGCTGGTGGAGCCAGGGCAGTGAGTGACGGTGTCTGTCCCCACGGTGGGGACTGAGAACGGTGGCAGCATAAGGTCAGGCCAGAGCCCAGGCCGCCTCCGCCTTCCCGGTTCCTGCTGGGAGGAGGGACGGCTTGCTGGGGGCGGGGGAGGGCAGCCCCGTGCGCCGCCTCGTCTTCTTCCTGGACCCCGGGGCCCACAAGGGCAGGACTGGGTCTTAGTCTGCTCTGGACTGTGCTTTGTATGCAGTCGGTGCTTTGTATGCAGTCGGTGCTCAGTAAGTGTAGATAGAGGACAGACTAGCTGGTGGCCGGCCGGACAGCCTGGCTGCCAACACGAACAGGGTCGCTCGTCAGACGGTGTCGACAATGCGGGGCTGCCCCCGAGGTCAGTCTCGGCCGCGCCAACTGGAGCTTGACCGCTGCTTGCTCGGCCGCAGCGGGGGGCGGTCCTGTTCCGCGTCGCATCTGCCCCGAGTCTTGGCACGTCCAGAGGTGCATGTGCGCTTCCGTCCAGACTCTGAGTGGCTCCTCCAGGCACCGGCCACAGGCAACACGTCCTAGAGCCAGAGGCTGCAGGCTTCAGGTCTGGTTGTCCCTCCAGCTGGCTGAGTGGCCTGAGGCAAGCTGGCCGCCCTCTCTGGGTCCCGGTGCCCCCAACATCACGTGGAGGCAGCCACCCCTACCTCGGGATGCTGGGTGCCGTGTAGCGAGAGCGCCAGGGGCTGGGGGACTTGGGCCCTGGGAGGCCGGCCCAGACTCCCAGCCCCGTCCCTGCCCCTGAAGGCCGTGGGGGCCCCTCCCCTGGGCCGAGCAAGCTGGCTGGACAGAGACTCTGTGCTGAGGCCCCGCGTCACCTGCTGCGGAGCCCGCAGGAGGCCCCGGGCGCTGGGATGACGCCGCTGCTCACCCGTGCTCTCTGCCCACCTGTGCGTCACCTGACGCCGCTGCTCACCCGTGCTCTCTGCCCACCTGGCCTGGGCTCAGCTCGTTGGGGGCTCGGGGAGCACAGGCCCGTATGGGCGGGCAGGGTGTGCGGCTTCGCCCGCAGGCAGCCATCTGTAATCCTTGTTTTAGGGGCGAGGAAGCGAGGCCAGCTGCTGGGCCACCCAGGGTTAATGGGGGCGCAGGGTTCACAGCCCGCTCTGCCACCCTCAGAGCTGCGCACTTGCCTGCGGGCTGGCCTGGGCCGCTGGGCGGTGCATCCCGCCCTGTGGTGGGCGGTGACAGGGGCTGGCCAAGCGGCTGGGGGCGGGGGCAGGGCGACCTGTTCCGGCTGGGACCTCCTCAAGAGGGAAGGAGGTGTCAGCACGGCCCAGCAGCGACTCGGCCAGGCATTGGCAGGCCTCTCGGGGCTACGGGGTACTGCGGCTGGCCGATGAGGTACCCCCCTCGGGAGGGACAGGGCCTGGGCCCTCCCCTGGGTGGGCGGGGCTGGGGCAGGCCCAGAGTTGGCTGAGATCTCTCTGCTTCTGGGGGCTGTGACCATCGGCAGGAAGGAGGTGTCAGCACTGCCCAGCAGCGACTAGGCCAGGCATTGGCAGGCCTCTCGGGGCTACGGGGCACTACGGCTGGCCGATGAGGTACCCCCCTCGGGAGGGACAGGGCCTGGGCCCTCCCCTGGGTGGGCGGGGCTGGGGCAGGCCCAGAGTTGGCTGAGATCTCTCTGCTTCTGGGGGCTGTGACCATCGGCCATCAGACTGGGGGGGCAGGATCGCAGGTCACCGTGTGGGTGGGGGGCCCAGGCGCCCTCCCGCTTTACCAGGTGAAGGCCGTCAACCCCCCTCTCCTCCCTCCAAGAGGGCGCCTTCGGCCCTGCTATCCAGCACAGCTTAAGTGTTTGCTCAAGCTTGTCTGTCTGATCCCAGGCCCTGGGCTGTCCTGCGCCCTCACCCCCAGCAGGGAATGGCCACTGGGCGGAGTCTGGGCTGAGGTGGGGGAGCGGGGAGCAGGTTAATGACGAAGCGTCAGCTTCTGCTGAGGACGGTCAGCCCCGCCCCAGTCCAGGTGGGCTGGCCCGGGGCACGTGGCAGCTTCCTGGGCTGGCAGCGCTGGTGTTGGCCTGGCTGAGGGGCGGAGGGGGCCGGGCCAGAGGCCGAGCAGGTGCGCGGGCGGGGACAGATGCCCGGCCCGGGACAGTCTTGCTGGCACCCAGGCGAGGCGGATTTCCCACCGGGAGGGTGCCGCTCGGGGGCCTCCTGGAAGGCTGAGAACTTCCAGGGTGGAAGGTTAGTTCAGACACCAGCAGGGGGCGCACCTCCCCGTGCCCGGGGCTGTCAGACTGCGGCGGCAGAGGGGATGGGGTGCCCCGCCACAGCCCCTCAAATCACAGCTTCCTGCTCCCCCCCACGCCTCTAGGAGGGGGTCACTGGGGGGGCGGAGCCCCTCGCCGTGTCCCCCCTGTGGAGGGAACTACAGGGTGTGGCGGTGGGTCGGACACCTCCCCAGCCGCCCCTCCCCCAAACTGGGCCCTGCGTCGTCTGTGGGCCAGAGGGCAGGAGGGGCCGGGAGAGCCCGCAGGCCTGGCTACACACAGGCCTGGCCCTGCGCCCCTGCTTGGCCTCACGTGGTCCTGTGACCCTGGCGAGGGGGCTCTGTGCGCCTCAGTTTCCTGCCCTGCAAGTTGGGGACATCTGCAGTGGTTCGGAGCACTTCGCGGTCCTTCACCATGAGCACCAAAGGCCGTGGGGCGGTGGCAGGAGGAGGGCCTGAGGGTCACAGCCTGGGGGGCACGGTCCCCTGGGATCTCACCTGGCACGCCGTGTCCAGTCCACACCCCAGCCAGTCCCGACTCTCCCCCCAGCCCTCTGCAGTGCTGACACCTGGAGTCCCCATGGCCTCGCTGAGCCGAGCCCTGCGTGTGGCCGCCACCCGCCCTCCCCGGAGCCTTGCCCGCTGCCCGGGGCTGTGCCCCCTGAGCAGCGGGGCCCGCCCCACCGCCGAGAAGAACGTGCCATACCAGCGGACCCTGAAGGAGGAACGGGGCCCCTCGGCGGTGGCCCAAGGCCCAAGCCGGCCCCTGCCCAGCACGGCCGATGTGGTGGTCATCGGCGGGGGCAGCTTGGGCTGCCAGACCCTGTACCACCTGGCCAAACTGGGCGTGAGCGGGGCGCTGCTCCTGGAGCGGGGACGGCTGACGTCGGGGACCACCTGGCACACGGCAGGTACGGCCGGGGCGCGCGCGGGCTCAGCCAGGGGCCGGGTCCGCACCGACCACCACGGGCCTCTCACAGGCAGCTGAGCAGAAGGGGAAGGACTCGGAGAGAGATTCGGGGTCAGTCCGCAGGTGGGCGGATGGCGGGCCCTGCTTGTCTCCAAGCCTCTGAAGGGCCGCGGTGGGACCTGTGGGACCCCGGAGGGCGAAGCCGGGGCCAGAGCTGGGGCCAGGCAGCTGTCTGTTCACAGAGCAGAAGCCCCTTCCCTGGACAGAGCCAGCTGGGGTGAGGGGCGTCCATGGGGCTTGGAGGGTGGACGGGGCGGGGCCGTCGGGGCGATGCAGGGCGGGGTCCTCCAGGGGCAGCAGGTGTGTCCATTGTCCTCCTACCTAACCAGTGGGCATGTATTAAGCACCTACTATGCACGTGTCCCCAGGGCAGCCAAACTTGCGCCTTGACCCTGGGTCAGTGAGGCAAACTCTCTTGCTTCTGCCAGCATCACGTGACCGGCGTGATCACGTGCCCGGTGCGAGGTCACCGAACGTGGTGTTGGCAGGAGTTGAGGCATCACGGATCTCGGGCGCTGACGCGGCCTCTGCCGTCCCTCTGCCCGCGTCCGCTGGGCCCGTGGCCTGTGGCCTCAGTGACACGGCCTCCCTCCTGGGCTCCCGCTCCCCAGGCTCTGCTCTGAAGGGGGCGGCTTGTCGGAGAAGAGCCTGCATGGGGAGGAATAATGCTTCTGCCTCGTGGGGCTGCCCCGGCACCCCGTGACAGCTTAGCCCGGGGCTCGGCACACAGTAGGTGCAGGATAAATGCAGCCTTTGATGTTGTCACTCTCTGAGCTGCCCAAGGCCGGGGAGGCCCGTCCTAGAGCCTAACCTTGACCCCGTCGTTTCGGGCTCCTCGACCTCGCGGGGGTGCCCACGGCCTGCGGAGAGGGACCCGGCGCTGCCGATGTTGGGGGCCCTGGCCGGGGGAGGAAGGGGCGCAGCATGCCGTGCTGAGCCTGACGGCGCCCCGCGCTCCCCGCCAGGCCTGCTGTGGCAGCTGCGGCCCAGCGACGTGGAGGTGGAGCTGCTGGCCCACACCAGGCGCGTGGTGAGCCACGACCTGCCGGAGGAGACGGGGCTGCACACGGGCTGGGTGCCGAACGGCGGCCTGTTCATCGCGTCCAGCCGGCAGCGCCTGCTCGAGTACCAGCGGCTCATGTCGGTGGGTGCGCCCCGCCGGGGTGGGGGTGCACCCCTGCCGACAGGCCGTCGGGGCGGCCCGGTGCCGGGGAGGAGCCCCGACAGAGCGGGGTTCCAGCCCTGCTGCGGCCCTTGCTGGCCGGGCCATCTGGGACAGGCGGCTTTGCCTCTGAGGTGGCATTTGCACTTTTAAAATGGGACCGTGTTGCCGAGCCTCAGAGGCAGGAGAGGCCCAGTGCGTGGGAGTCGCTCCCGTCACGCAGGAGGTCACGGAGACGGGACACATGATGACACCCAGGAGGCAGCGACCGCCCTTCCCGGGCACCAGGGACAGGGCCGTTGTCGGGGGGCGGGGGGCACCGGGGAGGAAGCCTTGCCCCACGGAAGGCTCTGTGTTGGGGTGGGCATTGTTTCCACCGGAGCGGCCAGCCCGGACCCCAAATTCCAGGGAGCGGGTGAGACGGGCCCCTCCAGCAAGCCGTCCCTTATTGAGCACCGACTGAATACCGGCTTAGGGCCTAGCGAGCAGCCGGCCGTGCGGCTAGCCGAGGGTCATTGTCACGGAGCCGCTGAGTTCCCCAGGGTGCCTGGGCCAGAAGCAGGGGCGGCTGGCTTCATTGAAAGGAGCCTGGGCCTCTGGGGTTGGGAGGTGATCCCATCACCTCCTCCTCCCCTTAGGTCACTCAACGGCTGGGATGGGGGCTGCAGAAGGAAGCCCCCAGCCCCCATCCCTCAGCTCATCCCCGGCTGCTGAGTGAAGTCTGCTCAGGGACCCTGACCAGCTCCCTGGTCTCCAGTGGGGTGGAGCCTGTCCTGATAGGCAGTGCTTGGGGACACTTGATTCGCTGCCCTGGGGCCAATCACATCTGAATTGGGGGCCTGGGACAGAGGACCAAGTCTGTGGGGGAAGCTGGTCTGATGGGGGAACCTGATCCTCAGACCCCAAATATAAGACCTGTGGGGGTTATTTTTATTTATTTTACACAATAAGCCTGTGTGCCAGGCACTGGTCCAAGCTCCTTAGAGGTGTCACCTGCCGAAGCCATTCTCACCTTCGTCCACTCAGGGGACGTGAAGCGACCTGCTTCAGGTCTCGGGCTGGTGTTGGAGCTGGATGGGGAAAGCGGATGGCCAGAGCCTTCTGAGCACTGGGCCGCCGGGCATGGTGACCAGCCAGGGCTTCCTGGAGGAGGCAGGCTTGGAGCTGGCCCTGGGGGCCCAGACGGGGAGGCGAGTGGCCTCAGGGGGTCTGACCCCCCGAGGGCTCAGTTGTTTTCCTCTGGGTCCCCCAGCTGGGCAAGGCCTACGGCGTGGAGTCCCACGTGCTGAGCCCGGCGGAGACCAAGACGCTGTACCCACTGATGAACGTGGACGACCTCTACGGGACACTGTACGTGCCAGGCGACGGCACCATAGACCCCGCCGGCACCTGCTCCGCACTGGCCAGGGCTGCCACCGCCCGGGCAGCACAGGTATGGATGGCGCCGTCCTGTCTGCCGGTGGCCTCGGGCCGGGCAGGACCTCCGAGCCTCTGGTGGCTCCTGCAAAGGCAGCCGAGCCTGCCGCGTCTGCCGGTGGCAGCTCGCCTGCCTTCCCCGCGGTCCGGCCCCGCGCACGAGTGACCCCTCGCAAACTCCGCCTCGTGGTTTTTATCTTAGTCTGTCTTAAGTATGCACGTAATTGTAGAAAAAAATTAGGAAAGAGAAATAAGCAAAAAAGGGAAGAAATGACCCCCCCACCCCAGGTGGCCGGTGTTGACGTTTAAGCTTCGCTCCAAGTCTGTGAGCACAAACGGAAACACAAACATCTTTCAGTCGAGTGAGCCTTGATTAGTTTTTAAGTGACTTTATGAGAAAGCGCCGCCGTGTGTGGGGACAGGTTCTCCAAATCAGGGGACGCGTGGCTGTAGCTCCCGGCTCCTCGGCCACCTCACTTCCTCGCAGAGTCGCGTGGAGCCCGCCTGCCCTAGAAGGAGCGGTGGTCCCAGGCCCGTCAGGATGGGGCGGTGACGGGGTGGGTGGCATCCTGCAAGGGGCGCCGGCCACGCCTCTCGCTCCCAGATCGTCGAGAACTGCCCGGTGACCGGCATCCGTGTGCGGACAGATGACTTTGGGGTGCGGCGGGTCGCGGCTGTCGAGACCGAGCACGGCTCCATCCAGACGCCCTGCGTGGTCAACTGCGCAGGTGGGACTGGCACACGCTGGCCGCTCCCTGCCCCAGCGTGACCGACCTGGGGATATCGCAGCCGGGGCAGGCAGGCCAGCAGAGGGCCCCGCGCCCCCGGCCGGCTGCCCGCAGCAGGTGCCAGCAGAGCTGACCTGTCATTCTCTGCCTGCAGGAGTGTGGGCGGGAGCAGTGGGCAGGATGGCCGGAGTCAAGGTCCCGCTCGTGGCCATGCACCATGCCTACGTCGTCACCGAGCGCATAGAGGGGATCCAGGTACGTGGACAGCCCCAGGCATTGTGTCAGCTGCGGGGGGCTGGCTTGTGGGGTGGGGGTGCAGGGACCTGGCTCTTACAGGTGCTGCGGCCCCCGTGGGTTCCTCAGCACGCTGGGCCCCAGCCACCTCACGTGTGCGGCGGGCATCACGGCGCCCCGTGTTCGGTGGTGCGAGAGCTCAGAGAGGGGCCGAGCTGTGTCCGGTGTGGCGGCCCCCGGGGCCCCCCTGCGGCCCGCCCGGCTTCTCCTCACGTTCTGTGTTGCGGGCATTTCTGGGAACCCCCAGGTTTGTGTGCTCGCAGGAGCACGGACTCCCGGCCCGCGAACTTCCGTGGGAGCCTGGATGCGCCTCTGCCCAAGGGGGGGCTCCTGTGTGCCCCCGCCCTCGCCGCCCCCCCTCGCCTTCTCTCTCCGGTGGCCGGTGGCTTCCTGTCCCCTTGTCATTGCCCACTCCTCCCTTCCTCGTCCGTCCATCCGTCCCCCACCCACCTGCTCTTTTTCTCGATCACCCTCACACCCTCCCCTCCTCCCTCCCCCCATCCACACCCCGCTCCGTTAATTTCCCTCCCCCTGTCCATCTTGCCATCCTTCCATTCATT